TTCTTCGCCTCTCCTTTCCTATCTCTCTCCTTCTCATTCTCCTGCCGCTCACAGACAATGGGGCCCTGGAGAATACCGGCTTGTGCTGAATTATTCAAATCAGCAGTGGCAGCAAGCCGGAGAGCAAAGGAGAGAGGCAAGGAGGTAGAAGAGGGAGAGAGGTAGAAAGTGAGAGGATGCAGGATGATGGGAGGAGGATGTGGAGGGGGAGTAAGAAACAGAGAGGAAGAGATAGATAGAGAGAAAGGCGTTGGAGAAGTGGTGGATCTCGTTGTCTCTGCATGCAAATAGCCTTTTGCTCCTTTCCTCCTCCCTCTCTATGAGTCACCCCCTGCCCTTCACTGCTTCATTAATACACATCTGTACCCTAGCCCTCCCCTCCACCTCCTTTCTCCGTGTCTCCTAGTGAGGAGGAAGAGAGAAACAGAGGAGTAGGGGTGGTGGTAGGGAGGGTGGGAGGCGGGTAGGCGCTCGACAGCAGCAGCACGCTGTTGGCAGGAGGAGAATGTGCCGGTAATTAGCCAGCACCGGTACAGACGAACAAACCCAGGAAGGAGAAAGGAGAAAAGAGGAAGGGAAAAAAGAGCAAAGCTCTGAAAACAAGCCTCCTGCCAGGCTAAACTCCCCAGAGGCGAGACCTGGACATGTCGGTGTGCAGTCTGGGAACAAAGGAAGAAGAGGAGAGCTGGGGAAGAGATAGGAGGCTGAAGAGTGGGCCAATGACAGCACCTGCAGAGATGGAGAATCTGATTGTGTGTGTGTGTGTGTGTGTGTGTGTGTGTGCGCGTGTGTCTGTGTAGGTATGTCAGCGTTATTTTTCCGTGATTGTGTATTCCTCTCAGTGTTGGATGCCTTCAGATGCACATATACTAAATTCATCATCTGAATGTCTCAGACTGTATGGTAACAGCTATGTTTATTTGGCTCATATTTAAAATAATCTTATTTAAATTAGAGAAAGATTCTCCTGTCAAGAAAGAATCAGTTTTCTAAATTCACTTCCTTGCGCAGCGTCAGATATTTAAACAGGAAGTCATGAGAGGCCAATGTGTACTGTTCATATTAATAGTCAAGCCTTGCAGCATGAGTAGATTTATAATTCATAATGATACTAATAATTATAATATCCTCCCCAGCAACATAGTTGTTGTACATGTTGCTAGGCAACATAGTTGTTGTACATGTTGCTAGGCAACATAATAGTATATGAATAATCTTCGGTGAAGGTGTTAATATTCCCTGCTTTTACTTCAGAGCAGCTTCTAACAGGACTCAGCGAATCATCCTACACATTATTTATCATAACATGTAACAGGCCATGTTAACCTTAATAATGCTAACATAACACCTCCTGAGGGCACAAAGGGGTTACACTCACAACGATGTGATATGAAAAAGGCACTTCCTCGCTGATATTCTTGAAGGTTAATGAACTGACGTCTAATCAAGAGACTCTGACCTGTCCTTTCCTCACTAATTAATTAAGAGCTTCCAAATTTTACCGCCAGATTTTTATACAGAGCGTCAAATATGAGCGTCATTTTGGGTGTGTGTGTGTGTGTGTCAGAGGGAGGGAGAGCTTGACCCTTGAGTCTTTTGCAAGCCTCATTAGTGAGAGGACTTGGTTCATTAAATGATGTGAGTGAGCGGTGTGGGCTAAGCACGGATCACACACTGAGAGCCTCTCCGTGTGTTTTATTTCTGGTTCATTTCTTTTTTTTGGCAGACATTAAAAAGAGATCTGTCTCAGTCACACCTGAAAACTAGTCATGCTGTCTCTGCAGGTCAGTGTCGAGAAGGGTGTTATGGGTTCTCACTCACCTCACAAATTATAACAATGCGTTTTGCAGCCAAGCACGAGAAACACGCAGGATCAGACCTCCTGTTGGAAGGGGTTCTAAACAGAAAATACACTTTTGTTAATACAAGCACAAGAGATAAAGTCATAATGACATTTGATTGATACTATAATGATACTGCAGCTATATGGAGGATATCACGTGTTTCCAATGGCAGCGTTGGATTGAGGGCTTTGAAGGCTGCCGTTGCTAGGAGATGCACTGTCAACTACGATGTGGCGGCACTGCATGGAGGACATCAGAGCCTTGTATAGCCTTGAAGCTCCATGATGTGTTTTGCTGGCACTGCGCTGGCTATTTACCATTAGCAATTTACTTAGTACGTCTCTTTACAACATTTAACATTTGTGTGGGTGTCCAATCAGTGTTGGAGGTGAATGTAGTTAAAGCCTCGGCCTCTCTTCACTGCATTTCTTAAGCCGTGTACTAAAATAAATACAGCTGAATATCTGAGCCCGTCAAAACACTGTAAAATGCATACTTGTCCATTACATCCGCAGCATGGGAAAGTAATTAGTTTGCAATCGTTGTCTGGTTCTCAGTCTCTGCTTTCTCCAAAAATAAATGACATAGACATCTGTCTTGGCCTCGGTGGGGAAGGAACAAGTGGAACATAAACACACCTGTCCCCCTCACCCACTGTACAAGAAAGTTCTGTTTTTAAGCAGCAACTGGAGCATGCACCTTTGTTACCCTTGGAAATACAAGCCAGCCTGTAGTTTTTCCTTGCCACCAACCAAGTCAACCAAGTCACTCTACTGTGACATGTTTATATGCTTTAATGTTCAAAAAGGTCTTTCTTTTTCTCATTCATTACACTTGGTAAAACTAACACTAATTTGGCTTCTAAGCAAAGATAAAGATAAGGTTAACGTCTTTGAATGTCTTTCATGCACATTTGCAAAAGGTGTGAGGCAAACATTGAGAAAGTTGAAGCCTGACGTGGAAGACCAATATGTCAAAATGGCAGTTTAAAGGCATTGAGCACATTCTGCTATGCTCTTTCTTGGCTGTCATTGATGTGTGGTGGCCTCTCTTGGCTCTGGATCGATTCAGCCCCATGCGCCCGAGAGCGTGAGGCCCGTCCAGCCGTGGGGAGCCCCAGGAGAGACTGACGGTGGTTTGACATGCTCCATGCTTCCCTCCAGAACGGCAGCAGTAGCAGTCAGCCGGCCAGCAAGCCTGCCCAACGTCCCCACTCTCCGTTTGGAGTGTCAGCCCAGTGTGTCTGCTGGGAGCTGGGCCTGGCAGTGCTGGTTACAGGGCTCAGATGGACCGCTGATGGGGCTTTGTGCCCAGCAGCCCCATGAGGCCAGGTAGAGAGGGGGGAGGGAGACAGGTGTGTTTATGTTCCACTTGTTGCCCCCCCTTCTTTCCCTCAGAGGCCAGGACAGATGCCCCTGTCATTGATTTTGGAGAAAGCAGGAGAGAACCAGACAAAGAACAAAAAGGGACATGGGATGGAGGCAGAGAAGGGAAAATGTAATGTGATAGTAGAAAAATGTATCTAATAAAAGTTTGCTCAATAAAGGATCCCTGAATTCAGCATTTGACCTCTGCATACATGGACTGATTTCCTCGTGCTAAATTTCCCAGCCTGAGGCAAGGAACACATTTGCAGGAAATCCATTTTTCTTGAAGCTCCCTGGGCAGTTTTTAGTAGTCCCTTCATAGTCATCAGAGCCTTTTTGGAAAATAATATTACACCGTGGTCTTGGAACGAGCATTAAACAGCGTCTAGGTTGACGACTGAAGCGGAGTCAGGTCGTTTGGCTCAGCAGGATCCAGGGCTTGGAGTAATCAGGGTTTGGGGATTCTAATTGGGACAATTAACTCCTAATTACAATGTAAACACATTATGCTGCCAAAACCCTGGACCCCTAGAGTGAGGCCTCCGTACCGTAACCTACTATTCTGCTCTGCTGTCTAAAGAACAGAATGACCACCATTAGGTACAATCCTTACAAATATAAAACTGCTATAAATAACAGCTGAAAACAACCTATAAAGAACTATTTAACCTAGAACCAGGGCACCATGCTCGGGACAATGATTCATCAGGTAGTGTTTTATATATTAGCTGATGGACAGATTATAATAGTTAATACATATCCTTTAACAACAACTTTTTTCGTACTTTTATGCTCCTGATAGTTATAGATATGAACGGATGTGGAGAATTATAAAAACACTAAAAGAAAGGACAAACCCAAAAGCATAATAGGGCCTCTTTAAGTCAGTGTGATTGTGGGCAGTAATGTGTGAACAAAACACTACAGCTGATGGAATAGTTACTGATGTAGAAAGATAATTCTCAACACACTGTTTGACCCATACCAACTTGTAAAACCATGTAAAAGAAATCCACCCAATAGATGACACTACCCACGGCTGCTGCTGGTGAGCATGGAGGGGGAGTAAACAGACAGAAGCACCAGACAGGAGTGTGCCAGGTTGTTCTCCCATCAGCTCTAGGGGCTCAGAGATGAGAAACATACAAGGAAAGGAGCTTCTTAAAGAGAGAGCAGGGAGGCGACAGGGTGTCAGGGTGCTGTCAGAACCCAGGATCAGAATGCTCTGCAGCAGAGAAAGGAGAAAGGTGTTACAGAGGTCAAACACCCACCATGAGCTGTTATACCTCTGAGAACAAATATATATGCTTGGATTTTTCAGCCTGTGCCTTTTCCAACTTTTATATGCTCATGATTTTACTCCCACCATTATTATTCTCATAATTCATCACTACCTTGTCTTTTTTGGCAGTGAGTCCCTGTCAATGTAATTGGCAGTGGGCCTCAATATGATGAAGGTGTGAACTCTACCTTAGTCCCTGTTGTCCAGATTCTTTCCTACAAACTAATTTCATGGAACATGTTTAATGTAATGTAATGCTACATTTTCTTATTGATAACATGTCATTTCAATATATTCCTCCCCTGACTGCGGTTTCATTTGAAACATTTTACTGTAAAAATCTGATCTTAACCAGGAAATGCTAAGGCACACTGGAAGATATTTGTTGCACGGTTTATTGTGTGTAGGGACCTATCATGCCAGTTTTTAATACAGCAGGGATCCTGGCTGCCCTTCCCCACCAAGCCCACCTCCAGTACCACATAAGCACCGTAATTGTAACGCCACTTCCCATTACACATGTCATTCCTCATGCCACGCTCCCTTGCCCATGTGCAAGGCCAGCTGCTCAGAAGGGCAGGGCAAGGTGTCACTTTTTCATGTTTTGATGGTACTTTGGTGGTACGGTGTCTAAACAATATTACGTTTTGTGCAAAGTTTTTACTGGGTCAAACAACTATCCTTTTAACAAAGAGTCTTCTCAACAGTCAATACATTATTCATGTTATCAGATTTCTTTCTTATTATGAAAAGGTATTTTATTAACTTTTATTTCAATGTTGTGTTATTTTAGTTGTGTAAGGGTAGGTGTCTTTTTGGAAAGATGTTTGAGTTCTCATTATAAATACAACTTGACAAATATCATATTTTCCCCAGGTTTCTCCAGGAAATATATAATCACAATCTTCAATCCAGTGGTGTGTGTGTGTTTCACTGGTGATCACAAAAGAGTACGGAGGTTGTTCTCAGCCCCTGGGAAAAAAAGCAGTGTTATGTACATGAGGAATACATTTGAACAGCTTGATATTAGACAGCTTTTGTTCCGTCTCATTACCTTTGCAAATGTAATATAGGACTCCGAAAGACGTCCATTCTTTTGAGCGCATTTGCTCCCCGTGATAGTATTTCCCTCTGTACGCTCCTTCCTCTCAGAGCATAGCTGGACCTGACAACTCATCCACCCCCACCTGCCACCACTTGGACAGAGCAGAAACTATATTCGGCAAATGAGGCAGGGAACGTAGGCCATGGTTGACTGCTCCTTAGGTGGAGGCGAAGGCAGTGTCCAGGGAAGCGGGAAGCAGGAACCCGAAGCCTTTGTAAACGAGACTGTTTCACAGCCATGATGATCTCACTTCCTGCTGGAGCCCGTGCAGAGCGACCTGTGATGTTGTTGCTGAAGCTGAGGGGCCGGCATGAAGCCCCAGAAGGAACAGCAGGTCTGTGCTGTGATGCAGAGGTGATGAAACTAGAAATATACACAGACAGAGAAATGGATACATGACACATTCATCACTGTGGGACAGAAAGGGGGAGGGAGGAGAATATAATAATATCTAAAATATTTCCAAAAGTCATCTTAGTATTATTAATGACAAAACAGAGAACATTCTTACATAGTGCATGTGTGTGTTGTGCATGTGTGTATATGCGGGGGTTTAAATCACATGAATGTTGTTGGATGACTATTTTAAAATGGCAACTAAAATCAACTACTGCAGTTACAATTATTACAATGGCCGTTTAATCCCCGATTCGTTCATTAGCTCTAAATTAAGAACATTAACAGTCAATCATAAGGAGGATGTATTGGCCTTCTGTGCCGAGAGTGCAAGATGTGATGGAGCAAGCTGGTCATTCGTCATGTAGATGTTCATTTATGACATACAAATGATTCCTAATTGACATGCAGTCGCTGGAGGTGGTTGTCAAAATGCAAAAAATCCAACTCAAGTTTTTCAAACCGCCATTTATAATAACAATGGATCAAGTGACTTCCTTTTTTGCAACTTTCATCTAATCGTGTTGTTTTTTTTCGTTCACACATTTATTTTTGTTTTATTTTACTCTCACATCTCTCATCAACAACTTTATTTGTTATAATTGAAAAACCTTTAAGAAACTACTTTACAGTACCTGCTAGGCACCTAACAGAAGACAGATAATGCTGATGAGTGCATAAGGGTTTAGCAGATAAAGCAATATTTTTCTCTAAAGTTGGTCCACTACAAAACAGAGCTAAAAGGCGAGTAAATATTGGATGTACATTACATGTCATTTGATCGACGCTTTTATCCAAAGCGACTTACATACATTCAGCACAGTGGACAATCCCCACAGGAGCAATTTGGGGTGAAGTGTCTTGCCCAGGGACACAACGACATGCTGACTGCTGTGGGACTCGAACTTGCTATCCCCTGATTCGAAGTCCAGCACACTTCCCACTGAGCCAAGGCCGCCCAGTACATTTGTTGGGGGCCAGAAATGCCAAACTCCAAATCAATTCTAATGTACCATACCAAAACATCTTCCAGTACACAACAAATATCAGCTGTACAATAGTGTTTTGTTTGGATACAAAAAGGATAGCGAAGATGAGTCAGCATTAAGCAAAAATAAGGCAATTTGATGTTGAAATGCAGTTTCAAGACAGCAATAAATGCTTGTCATCACAGATGTCACCAGAAAATGGGCACTGTGTGTTCAATTTTGACTATAATGTTCATGAAGTACCAGTTGTTTTTGATTTTCAAATGATGCTGTGTAGCATGAACTGTCTCAGATAAGGAGTCGGAAAAGGGGGAAGTTTTAAAGTATTCATGCATTAATAAAGGTGATTATTTTTGCAGATAAGCAGTCATGTTGGTTTGGTTTGGCAGCTTGTATCGTCCTGTAGATTAACAGGCATTTTGTGTACAGCATGTTGATTTAATTCCTTCTCAGAAAAGTTTCTGTTAATTCAATATACAATTATGCTTGAACAGGACCGGCTGCCAATTCCCCCGCAGCATAAACTTTTATTCATCTGAATAATCATCTATGAATTGTGCTTCATAAAACCAATTGTCGTTGTAAAAGACATAAAGACATTTTGCAAGCAGCAGGGAGAATATGGAGTGAGAGATAGTTGAAAAGGAGGAGATGCCTTGCCTTGTGTGCAGAGCCTTTCCTGTGATGCTTCCTCTTTTATCGTCTGACCTTTCTCTTAATTGGCTGCCATGTCTTTACACTGAGATTCTGTTGGTCTCCCAGCCAAGTAATTTCTCCCCCTCTTCCAGCTAAAGCGTCTCCCTCTGACCCATAAATTGGAAGTGCTTTAACCTTTCCTGAGTGCTCACTTTATAGTGCACCCTTTATTCTTTTATTATGCAGATTGGATGGATTTTAACATTTCAAAGTGACTGGTATCACTCTCACCTTTTTTTATTGAATTCTTTTTATTCTCAAATGTGTGTTTTAAGACTGAATCTTTGAAGAGAGCGCATAAAGACAGAATGATGTTAATTTGCTTAGTACAGTTAATCTCTTTATAAATAACATTACAGTAAAAAGAAATGTGTTCTGCTTTGTAGTGCCTGTATTATTGCAGATATTGCTAAGAGATAATAACACATCATCTCATTATAGTCAGTAATCTCTAATTCCCCTAAATCAGCAGGCAACGGAAGCCTTAAACAATTGTAAAAGGAATGATGGCCTAATTTGCTTATTTCATCCAGTTATCTATAAAAGGCATCACATGTGCATTAATCAACCGCCTATTAGGCTAAACAAGGTTCATAATATATCTGTGAAAGTGTATGTGTGTGCTCGGGGTGTAATATACTTGATGTATTGATATGTTTATTTCAATTTATTTCAAGACCTCATCCTGCGACTCTGACCCCGAAATCAATACCTTCATTTATGGTCCACCACCTTCAATCAATTCTGCCCCCGTCTCCTCTCCACGATGGACTGCCTCCGACCGGACACATGTGAGCAGAGTTTCAGAAGCTCGGACTTTTTCTTTTCATGCTGGCTGCTTTCTGTGTCGCTGTGCAGTGGAAGGTGACTGGTCACTCAGATCCTACATTGGCTGCTGGTCATCATCCTTTAGCGTTCTTCCTCTCCTGGTCTCTTTTTCGTGCCGTCCTCCTCCAGCTTTCACCTCTCTGCTCCGCTCGTGACTGGCAGCTACCTGATTCATGATAAACAAAGCACACAGCCACCGGCAGACCGAGAGAAGCACATGCTGAACAAATGCAAATGGCCCTTAGTTCTGTCATGAGCTTCTTCTTCCCCCCCGCTGTGCTCTCTGTCTCACCGTTATCTGCAGGAATGTATAATCTCATTCCCGTGAAATATAGATGCTTTGTACTTCTAGATAACATCGCTTTGACCACACTGCGAAATTGTATTCCTTCCAACATAAGCTGTTAGCTACATCACCTGGGCCTTGCGATGGAGATTTAGCCATTTAGCCCGGTCACCTCCTTTTAGAAAAACATAAGGTTGAGGAAAGCCAGGGGGTTTTATTCGTCTTAAAAAGAGCTGGCAGTATTGCTCAAACAGCCCTTTGCCTCCTCTGGATTTATTAGCCAATTTCCACTACCATTGTCTTTCACTTCAATCTCAGAAGTGAGGGCGCACCGGGCAGAATATAGGGCTGCAATCATCCGAGTGTGTGGTGACAAAACCTCCTGCGCTCGCACCAGGAACTCAATAGATATTCATGAACATTCTCGTATTTAGAGAAGGAAATAACTTAATACCGACAGTGTCGATGGAATAATAGCCATTTCCTGCCTGACTTGCAGCCCCTCAGAAAATGAGATTGCGCTGGCCGTCATTTTTCTTGTCTGCTGGGTGTTTCCGCGCAAAGGTCTATGGCTGCAGCTATGCTCCCTGCATCAGCAATGAGGTGCAGATAGAAATAAATAGCGAGGACAAACGAAAAAGACAGAGCAGGTGAGATGGCCCGACAAAAAGACACAGAGAATTTGTTGCCGGATTTATCCCCAAAAATTGAGGTTAAAAATAAAAAAACACATACAATATAATCACAATGTGAAATAATTGTCTAAAACATGACCTCTGAGGCTTTAGTGTAAAAAGGACAACACTTAGATGCTTCTTCCTGGCTGAGCAAAGGCAAATATTTCATTCATGGCATGATTAAGATTGATTACTTCTGCAATGGGAACAAGAGTGTCCACTAAGGAAGAGAGACTAGAACAAAACAGAGTGAGGAAAAAGAAGATAGAAGAGGGAATTGAGTGAAAGGATGCCTGACCTGAGAGACAAAGGAATCTCTCAAACTATTCCTTACCATTACTCGGCCTGTCACGTTATCCCCGCCACCGGTCTTATAAATTAACCATCTCACAGAGGAGCTCAATCCTGCAACCCTCTCTCTCCTCCACAATTAGGTTTCTCCTCTTTGTAAGCCTTCCTTATCTCTTTGCTTTTACTCAGGCCTTCATCAGCACGAATATATATCAGGATTTTCCTTTTCGTCCTATTCTTATTCAGGCCTTCATCCTCCCGAGTGCACAGCATTCATCATGAGTCTGTTCAAGATTCTAGTGAGGATTGTTGTTACAAGTGCCATCACGGAAAACCTCTAAAAACATATGGGGCTGTAAGAAATGGAAACACTCACCAAGACGATGCATTTTAAGATACCAACTTAACCTTGACCTGTCATGTCAACAAGTGGCAGTCTTTGCTGAATATCTGCAAAATAATTAAGAACTTTTCCAAAAAGCATATAAAGATTGCACAAATGGCCAGATTCCCATTGTGTCTAAGCAGTGATTTAGAGCAGTGATTTAGAGCAGTGATTTAGAGCAGTGATTTAGAGCAGTGATTTGCCACGAGAGACATCAGGTGTGCCGTGGGAAATTGTCCGATTTCACTTAATCGGAAAATAAATATGTACTTGCTGCAAATAATGTGCCACTTTTGAGCATCTGCAATGTAGGGGCTGGCTAAATAATTAAATAATCTTCCATGCCAATGAGTGGCAATAGGTAGCGCAATAATGACCTTGTTAATTTAAGACAATAGAGTTAAGAGAGGTTGTGGCGATAAGACGCTCAGCAATGGATAAATATTTAAAAAGGAAAAATGCAGACTTTGGACTGGGTCCTGGACAGAATTCCAACCCAGATGAAGAGCCTATGAGTAGTGGGAAAAAGAAATACAAACGGTCAGCTCAAGGCAATACAGCAAAGGATATCTTTTGTTTGGATTTACTTTCACCGCCATGGTCCCAAGCACGTTTAAACGTCAACTCCAAACGAAACACCCTTTACTTCAAAATCTGGAACACAGACTATTTTGTTCACCTGAGTGAAACTGAGAAACAGGTAACTGTTATGAGAGAAATCACAAAGGTGTCTGAGAGGTCTGTCAATTATTAGCTTAAGTCGTCGCTAAATTACATTAAATTGTCATTATATATGAAGCTAACTTTTTCGGTTGTTGATGTGCTGTGGGATATTCTTATTGTAAGAAATGTACTGCGGTTCAGAAAAGGTTGATAAACACTGATTTAAAGGATCAAATCCAGGAATGGGTTTGGCCATTTCAGTTTTCTTCGCACACAAACAGCAGTCTGAAGGGGAAAGTATTGGTTATTTTTGGCTGAGTTAAAAGACTCCTCTCAGTGTGAGAAAGAGAGAAAAAGATTCGGTGTGGGATAATAGTATGAATTTGTGCTGTAGGGAGAGATTTTCTATGGAGAGTTCACAGTTGCAATAAACAGAGGTAGAGACAGTGTGGGGGAGTAGAGGTGGATTGGTGGAGTTGGAGGGAGGTTGGAGGAGTGTTTAAATTAATTTGATCTTGGATGCCTCAGAGACATGGCCGGTGTGTGCTAGCCACGCACCAGGACAGAAACCTGAGCAGATTGCCCCGCTGCTTTGTATTCCAAATTAATTGGCCTCTGAAGATCGCCCTCCGCCCCTCACAACACTACTGATGCACATTTTCCTCCCCTCAATTAAAAGTGTGTACCCCACACGCAGCCCTCTCACCTCATTCCCAGTGACTTCTTACTCCCCTTGTTACCGAGAATAAACTGGTCCTTCACATCAGAGCTTCGCAGGACTGTGGGGAAAAATGCAATTAAAGGAGGGGTTATACAATCCATCAGCCTGAGTGTGTAGTGATTGTCATTAATTGCACTTAAAGGATGAGGATGCCTATGTTTTACTTTTTTGTGTGCAAATAAATTCAAAAGAAGAATCTAAACCACCAACAAATGTACACAAGTATTGGCTGTGCAGCAAACATTTGATATGCAGTAATTTACTCCTCTGTGCCATACAACCTATTTGTTGTGAGACACATGTATAACTAGTTGATTTCTCAGTAAATCGGGACAAATGTATTAAACCGCTGCTGAAAATAGTGCCAAACAAAAACTATTTACTCCTGTTTGAGGGAGGTTTGATACATATCCTATAGGGCCCTGCTAATAACTGAGCCTCTTTTAATATTGTAACTTTATTTTGTTTTTATGAGTGATGTATTTTATAGATCTATACAATAGCTATAACAGGAGTAGGCTTGCAGGTTTTGAAAACTGACTCAGACGTAGTTTTTTTAAATGTATTTGTCAACATCATTAAAGATATATATAATAAAGTCAGCCTTAATATACTTTACAATAGCTGAACTGTTTAATCAAGTGTCAGAAAAACATATTTTCTTCTTCTAAAGACTTTGATATTCTCCTCATTCATATTATTTTGTATTTCTCTGTACCCGTAATGATTAAAAACCAGACAGAAAGACACTTTTGCGAAATTTGAGCTTTCAGCATCCTAAATTGTTATGTGTACTCACTACTGGGAAATGTGCCTCTCAGGAATTCAAGTCAACACGAGCGCATGTTGAACATGTTTTTCTTTTTAAAGTGTTAATTAAGGGTTACAGCTTTGATTAAAAAGGAGCAAAAAAGTCACAATTAATGGAAATGCTGGGAACCATTTTCTACATTCATATCAATTACCAGGTTTTATGTGGCGGGGTTCATTACATGTGCAATGTGGCCTGCATTACAGGTCTGATTGTTTGGTTGTTCTGTTCTTTATGAACTGTGAAAGCTCCCTCAGCAGCAGGGGGGCAGTTAAAGCTCCACCTGTGATACACAAAAGGCATTATTATCCCGCTCCTTATTACTGAAACACATCCTTTATGTGCTTGCAGAAACAATGTCAGCCGTAACAAAGTGGCAATGATAAACAAACACAAATATCTCGACTCTTGCATCCAAGGTCTGCGTTTGATCCGGTCGGTATACTTTCTCTGTTAAGTCCCGGATGGAGAAGTGGTAAAATTATCTGTCTTGAAGTAAAAATAGCAGCAAAATGTTCACGACTGTCATATTTATTTATGAGAGTTAAGAAGTTTTTTGAGGGGAAGAAAATGTAGGATGAATCTATTTATTGAACAAAGGACAGCAGAACACCACAACAAACATCGGGCGAAAACAGATCCAGGATATTTCAGTCAGGAGAGATGTGAAAATGTTCTCAGAGGAGAATTGCCCCTGCGGACGACAAATGCCAAAACAACTCTGACGAAGAAAGAAAGGAGGAAAATATGAGTGAACAGAAGGAACAACAATTATTTATGTAAATAATGTGCCATTGCTGCTTATAATTAGTGAGAAAATTAAGCAGAAAATAAGAGTGGGGGGAAGGGGGGGGGGGGGGGGGGGGGGGGGGGGGGGGGGGGGGGGGGGGGGGGGGGGGGGGAAACATCACGCATGTCACCCAACTAATTTTTTTCATGCAAATTAACAATCGAAATTATAAATGGAAATGGTGGTGTTGTGATCGAGAGAGAAAGAGAGAGGGAGAGCAACGAGAGATGCCCTGTTTTTTTCCCTCTTTCTTTTCTTGTCTCTGTTTGGAATTCATTATCTGGTGAAGCAAGCAGAGGCAGATGTAGTTTGACACAAAGAGTGAAGTTGATAGCCGCGGCAGGAAGAAAGCAGTTCGGGTTATTGTTTTTGACAGAATGGCCTTAGAAATATTATTTTTCCTGCAAGAGGGCAGCAGGGAAACAGTAGAGTATGCTAAAGGTGGGGGGGGGGGGGGGGGGGGGGGAGTTTTTGGGGAATAAACTCTGTAGGGAATTTGGGGATTTTAGCCTTTGCAGACCATTAAAATTCAAAAAACCCTATATAACAAACGGGAAAACCTCAAAAAGCATAAAAGGGCCCCTTTACACTTCCACCTGCCCTAACATACAACTTGTGTAGTTTTTTGTGGTACACTTGTCCTGTTTTGGCCCTTCAGTGTAAAAGCTGATCCTTGCCATACACTCTGTCTCTGTCCATACCTCCACAGATAGTTCCTGTGTGCACAGATCAGATGTTGCCGAGGTGCTGACACAGTTATCAGACACACACCCCCCCCGCTCACCCAGCGAGAGGTGCTGGTTGCAGGGACTTTAAAAGGCAGTGTCAATGAGGGTGTGATAACTGTGAAAGTCTGTCTACATGTGTCTCCTGTCTGCTCATCTCTCCAGTTCCTACTTCGCTCACCACCGGCACCTCACACACACTGCGACCTGCTTTTCTGCCTCCCCTCTGACATTGGGAAGTGTTTTTAAAAGGAGCCGGGATCAAACGCAGCCGGAAAATGCCTGTCTGCCGTTCATCTGACAGCCCTGCATCCTGAACCCTTTTAAAAGAGTGCCGAGGAAAAAAGGGAGAGAAAATAGGACATGTTTCGCACAATTTATGCAGCGTTAATTTTCCAGCCCCCGCGTCGACTGTTTACAGAGTCCTGCACATCTCAAACCGTCTCTTGTTCTCTGCACACCCCCCCTTTCTATCTCTCAAACCACAATCCCTCCTTTACTTTTTTCCTCCCACCCCTCTCGCTTTTTCTGGCTTATGTTATTCTGATTTTTTTCTCTCCAGTCTTTTTTGTGTCACTAGTGAGGATGCTCTCCCTTGGGGTGGCTAAATTTACATCTCTCCATATGACAAACACAAACAAAGGAGCAAATAAATCAAATGTGAGGTAGGGAGAGAACGAAGGAGAGGGGGAGGCAGAGAGCAGCTGTGAACATATATATACATTTGAATACAATAGTGTGGTAATGTTGATATTAACCAATAAAATACTTTATGGTTGTGCAATATTGAATACCATAATGATTGCATGTTCCACTATAGGAACCAGCTTTTCATTTATAGACAAAGACCCACTATTAAAAGCTAAACTGTCTTTAACAATGACACCAGATGACAGCTGGCTTGATGGCTTTTAGATATAAGAAAAAAACATAAAAACAAAGAATAAAAGAAGTTTAAAATGTGCAAGGTTGTTTTTAGGCCTCAAATATGTGGTACAGAACAGAGGGACTCAACCGGACAGGAGGAGCCATTACCTCAACAGCAGCACACAGTCACCTGTCATCCCTCTCTATAGAACACGCTACATCCAGTTTGGATGTGTGTGCATGGGTGTGTTTGACTCTGTGTCATAAAAGACTAGAGAAACTAACCCGATCACCGCTCTTACCCCTCCCTACGCTGGCTCAGTTTACCATAAAATGTCACTTATGAAAATTCATGCAGCGGAAACAAAGCCCAAAAGAATCAAGTTGCGCTCAGTTCCTGTTTGCCTCTGCGAGTGTGCGCAGTAAGTGTGTACATATATGGATGTACAGGCTTCAGCGCGATGGAGGATACATCAACAATGGACTGTACACATGTATGCAGAGCCTCCTCCTCTCTCACCTGCTTCCATATCTGAATATTTAGGTGTAGGGGGGCTTTAGAAGAAGAAGTGAAAAGGGTGAGGTTTGATCAATCCCAACAGTGTGTGTGCGTGTGCGTGCGTCAGTGCTTGTGACAAGCAGAGGAGCCCCGCTGTGTCTCGGCGCGTCCTCTCTGATACATTATTAATTAGGCGGCGTTTAGAGTAACGAGCAGAGCATTTGAGCCCCCTCTCCCCCCGCCCTCAGTGACACGCTCCCTGGGAATCCGCTGTGTGACTGCAGATCAGAGGAAGCGACAATCCGACACTGCATCACCCACCTTCCTGGAATACCATGAGAGCCGGGCTCCCGGGGAGATGGAAGACAGGAAGCATCAAAACACCTCCAGCTGCAGCTCTCTGCTCACTCACGTTATTTTACACAGTGGTCTGCAGAAGCTGTCCACTCACTGACATGTAACTAGTGCTCAGATATACAGATGTGAAAAGTAACTCAAGTACTCTGGATTGAAGATTTGTTTGCAAAATCTTTTTCAGAACACATGTTTCGTATCATACTTCTCCTTGATAGAGTGCTTGTCAGGTTTAGGTTGCCATGAGCCGACATTGAATTGTATGAAAAGATAAATTAAAAAGGTTGTCTGGGAGCATTTTGCTAATACAATATGTATTACATGATAATTGACCTTTTCTACAGTTTAGCAATACAATTTCTAAGAGACTGGGCTGACCTGGTGCAACTGCCTTTAAATTAAAGTAAAGTTTAGTTTGATGTACATTTAAAAAAAAAAAAAGGGGGATATTCTTCAGAGGGATGGGTATTTTAAGTGATCTTCTTTTTGGCTGAACTCAATCAAAAGTGTGGAACACAATTTCTGTTACATTGAAACATGCTTAAAATAGCTGTTTTTAGTTTTTATCCAACAACTTCACATAATCTTTTGAAAAGTGCCCCAAGAGATCCTCCTTCAGGAATGGGAAAACCCCTCTATAGGGATAAAGTCGAGGGGATCTTTATAGCATAATGTATAGTATGTCATTACTATCCTATTTGTTGTCTAGTAGCTGCTGAAAGAGGGTTTGTCCCAACAATTACATACCACTTTGACCACAACTGCTGACATATCACATTTATCCAACGTTACTTTGTCAGTAATAACTTAAAGTGGACCTATCATGCTATATTTGAAACATATATTGTAGGGCCATACCTATATAAAACATGTCTGTGGAGTTTTTTTTTCAAAATACCAAACAGATCATGCATTTTAGCCATGCCTCATTTCGCTCTATTTGCTCTTTTCCAGCCCTGTTTTTGCAGGGGCTGATTCTGCTTTTGTGGCAGACTACAGCGCCACTTACAGG